TTTATGTTAACAGATCTACTCCCATAACTGGCATTAAAGATTTCATTGTAAGAGTGTAGAGAAGAAACATGTGCTAACTATTCTTTTTGGAGAATTAATCTTACATAAAAAATTCATTAAAGGAGGCTTTGCTGCATTATTTAAAATGACAACAGGAGACAACAAGCTGAATGTTTTGTCATTGATATGACACTTCACATTCTCCTCCTTATTCATCAGTCTAGCACTCAATTAAATTACATGCTTTCAAAATTTTTTGTTGTGAGAAAAAAATAGAGAAATAAAAATGTGATGTGAGTTTTAGATATTAGTATTTTTACATTATTCTGCAATGTATGGCTTTCTTTTTTTTCTCTCTTTTTTGCATTCCTGCTTATTATTCCTGATGAATGTGAAATGCAAGATAGAGCCATGTTCTGAGGTGGCATGATATCAATACAGGTTGATTGTCATTCACACCAGTTTTATTCCAATGGCATTGCTGGGTAGGAGGATTCCAGTGAAGAACTTTCCTTGGGAAAACTGTCCAAACCGGTCAGCCTCTTGTCACGAGGTAGCAGTTGCATCAAAACAATGACTAACCCCTGCCCCTTCTGCAGACTCAGCTAAGTTGTGAGCAGGTACATTGCTGTCTTTTCCTGCGTCATGCAGGCACTGCTGTTGCTCTGGTGTGCTCAGCCTGGCTCTGGGGGATAGCAGGACACCAAGGGATCTGCCACAGCCACAGTCACGCCCTGTGCAAGGAGGGGGAGCTGCTTTAGGCAATGTCACACGTGTCAGGGGGGAATAGTTAGAGTTTCACCAAAAAATATGAAAGCAGTGAAGGTGGCTGTGGTGTCAGTGTGATATAACACCATTGTAGTTTCATGTTAAGTCTGTAGTAAAATGATAAATCTGTTACACTAATGTGCTGCAAATTGTAAATGTGATATCCATGGTCTAAAACCCAAAATTGGATTTAAGACCTATTGCCTCAGAACACTTTCTAACTCCTCTGCTTTAGAAGTGGGTTTTCTCACAATACTCCCTGTCAGGTATCTAAAACTGCTGCAAGACTGGTTTGTTTGACTAATTTCATTGTTGAATCCACCTTCAGATATTTTTTCTCTTCTCCTCCTCCCAATTCAAACAAGAAGTTCTGTGCCCTCCTCTGGCACCACCTGCAGTTTTTAGCTCCTTGATTCCAAGTCCTCAGCTGACACTTTCCTCAGTGTCCTTTTTCCACGCCTTCTCCTGTGTGCATCTTGGCACTGATGTTCTGAGCCCTGAGTGCTTTCCCGACTCCCATCTGCACCCCACTGCTGTTTGTTCTTGAACCTGTTTACCTGGTCTTTGTTTTGTGTGGGTAAGCAATGCTAGGAGAATAATTCCCTGCCTTCCAGCATTGCATTAGCCTCCCCCTGGCTAAAATAATCAAAGATTGCTTCTCTGACCTCCTCTCATTTATTCATTCCTGTTCTCATTTTGAGGATGGAGAATTCATCATCCTTAGTACCCTGAGCCTGATGCTACAGGATCTCACTATATGCAGAACTCTCTCAAGCAAGTAGTGCTTTCTAAATTGTTGCAGACAGTGGCATTATTCAATAAATAGGGAGGTAAAGCTGGCTCTCAGATGACATATTTGGCCAGGCATAAGTTAGCCAGAAATTTCTCTATCTGGATAAATCAACAACTAGAACACCTGCATGGAAAACCCTTGCTTTACTTCTCTAGATTTTCGGATGTTCCTTTCACAGGGAGGTGGCAGCCCCTTGCCAATAAGAAAATGGTAAAGGGAAGGGAATCTTTGAAAGGAATTCATTTGTTTGAAATAAAGTGAATGGGCTAACCAGCTAGGCATCACTAGCAAGCTGAAGTAAAGAAAACATAAATTTTTAAAATGCTGTGACCTCCAAGAGCTTAAAAGTGCTGTATCATTTAAGCTTATAAGGCAAAACCAGGGCATTACCAATGGATGCAGATGAATATAATTGATTTGATGGCAGATGCTCATCTGTAGCTGAGACTAAACATGTAGTTAAAATAAAAAGAAGCTGGTAATCCTTCACACTTCTGCAAGGCTGTCCAAAGAGACTACTGAGGCATCTGAAAATCTTCACACAGGAAAGAATATGTTCTACTGTGCCAACACTGTGAAGCACTGCTTTATTCACTGAGGACCTTTAGAGGAGGGACAATACAGAAATAATCACAAATTGTAGTTGAGGAAATGAGAAAATGTTGTGAAGAACTACAGAAAGACTAGACTAAACTATGTGAGTGAGCATCCCTGGGGTACCTGGGACTCCAAGTTAACCTACTGGTTACAACCAATGTACACACCCAATCTAGGAGAGCTTTTTTCGTGACTTCCTCTTCTACCTGTCTTCTATGTCCTAACTCACTGAGGTATTTTAATTTGAGAGGAAAATTAGGACACTCAGTTTGTAATTGCTTGGACATGGCTTATGAATATTTGGGGTTTGCCTTAAATATATTCCCAAAATATTTGTTATTTGAAATGAGCAGGCTCTTCTTTGGTCTTTTTTAAGGGAGAATACACTGGAGTGAATGATGAACATTCAACTAATCCATCAGCACAAAAAAAAAAAAAAAAAAGGAAATCATTCTTACAGAGTAAGGGAATTGTGTTATTATGTTTGTGGTATAAATGAGGATTTTGAAAATACGTAACGAATTTAGCTACTGTGAATAATCTGTGCATAACAGCCAAAATTATAAAAGCTCCATAACATGTTCCTAATATTAATGTGTTTCTTTGCTGTTTTGCAGGCAGGCCAGTAATGATTGTAGTTGAGTACATGGAGAATGGATCCCTCGACTCCTTCCTGCGGGTGAGCTGCCATTTTCTGATGACATTTGAATAAGACACCAGTCGAGGTTAAGATTTAAATCATTTATCACAAATTAATTTCTACATAATGTTATTCATGGATTTTTAGTGAAGAATAGAAGCTTTCTCCCCAGGGTACATTTCTGAGGTACAGTGATATATTAGAGCATGGCTGGGAAAGAAGAAGATTTAAACTTAGGAATATAATTGATTTCTTCTGCAAAAGTAGTCCCTATCTTTAGCAAAATGTATTTCAAATGGTGTTTTTGTGAAAGAAAAGATAAATTGAAGGATAAATGCCTGGCCTTATGGAGGTGGCTCGTTTTTCTCAATCACCTTCAAAAACACTCTGTTACGATTTTTTTGGTTGGTGAAGTGTAGAATATACTTGGTAATTGATTTATAATTATTCATGGTTAACAAATTGAATTAGAAAACAGTTTATGGGTGAAATGTCCTGGCATTAATTAACCCCCAAAGGTCACTAATAAACACTAAAGGAGAAAATATGAGTAATATGTTGGCACAATTATATTTAATTTTTCCTAGAAAAATAGCAGGAAAGGATGACCCTCCATTTAAACTAAACTTATCCTAAAGTAGTCTCTTTTTTTAAGAGAACCCCTGGAAATCCTCCAGAGCCCCACTGTCATAACCCCCTGTGGGAATGATTTTGAAGTCAAGTATTTCCAATTTGTCACCAGAAGTCACCCTGAGCCCTCAGTTGCCCAGGGCCCTGCCACTGCCATCTTGCAGAACGCTGAATTTTGGGTTGGGGACAAGCTCAGGGCAGGGGATCAGGGGCCTCTGGCTCTGGGAACTTGTTTGAAAGCCTCTTCCAAAGGAGAGACCCTCCGCAAGGAGCTGTGGAAATCCCTGCAGGAAAATCTCAGTGGTGCTGATTGAAGGATGATTTGGGAGCAGAAAGAAGGAACTGGTAAGAGAAAAGGGTGAATAAGCAGGAGGGAAAAGCAGCCAACATTTTAGGAAGAAGATGCATCAGAGAGAGGGAGAGAAAGACATGCAGACAGTATTTGTTTGACAGCTGGTTGAGAAAAGGGGTAGAATCAAGAGGAGAGCATCTAGAACAGAGGAGACTGTCCTGAAAGTACTCAGAGCCATTATCTCAGGTATTTCGAGGCACTGCTTCTCCCTTCCTTTTTCTTTGGATTATTGCACGCTGTATTACCTCTTACGTTTCTTGTCCTTTTCACTGGCTCCCCCAAATAGTTTCTTATTTTCCATGATCAGGACACACAGCAGATATCTGTTATGATGTCAGAAACATGCCAGCACCACAGTTTCTGTGAGAATTTGCTGATGTCTCAAAATCAAGTTATTTTTATGGAGCATTTGACCTCAGCCATGTCTTACAAGATGAGTAGTTTTTAAAAATCAGCCCCCTTGCCTTTCTGGCTCCTCTCTCTATCCATCTGCAGCAGACAGACTGCCACTGATTTGAGTCCCTGCAGCTTCCATGGTCTCTGATTTTTCAGCAGTGCCCCAGGAAGATTTGCCTGGGCCTGAAATATTGCCCTGTGCGTGTGTGTGTGTGTGTGCAGAATTCCTCCAAGTGAATCAAACCAAGTTCTGAAATAATTCATGAAGGAGAATTGCCTTTCTCTGAACTGCTCTGGTAGGATATCTATATCCCAGGGTTTTTTCACATGCATCCATTTATCAGAACAGTTACCACTTGTTAGGATACTTTAATAGAAACTGGCATCAGCAAAATGATAATGTTACTGTGAAACAATATTTCTCACATTGCATGGGATACATTTGGAAGCAAATCTGCTGGGGGGAAATGGGAGCTAATAATTTCTGCAGCTGTTTTCCTTGTATATTATTTTACAGTTTCAATTCACACTTCAGATACGGGTTATTCCTCTAAAATGCTTTTAAAATGTACTTTAGATAATATTCAACATCCCAGAGCACTGTAGATATGTCAGCATTTCTGTTAGTAATTAGCAGGGCAAATGGCTGCAAAGTAACCTATTTAAAAAGAAATCCAGCTGCTTCATTAATAATAGTTGTGTCCTGCAGATATAAACCCACACTTTTAAAAGCTTTTGTGAAGATCCAAAGAAACAGAAAGGCTTTATCTTTAGCAGTCCTAATGAAAGGCATTGGGTGGATACACCACATGTTGTGAGATTTGGAAGGCCTTATAAGATAGTCTATCTTTCTTATTATTTAAAGGGTCACTTGTTACCTTGCAGTGTTTTTACACAGAGGGAGGAAACAATCTGTTTCTCACCACAAGAAATATTCCCCCGCATGCCACAACCTGCAAAAATTCACTGGCACATCTCTCTGTCTTCCTCCAAAAACCTGCAGAAATGGATCAGTCTTACAAATTCCGAGTGAGGTGCTGTGATGAACCATGAGAGGATACTCCAGAGCTCCATTTGCCATCCCCCTCCTCACAGCCTGGGCGGGAGATTTGCTGTCCTGACAGTACAGGTTGCTCCAAGGAAAGCCTCCCTCCCGGCCTTGAGCCATAACTGCTAAAATCTTAATAACTTTTAATTCCCTGTTTTACAGATAGCAGTGCCTGCTTTCTGCTATTAGTATGAACTTTAACAGTGAGCTCAGCTAAATTATGTCTTCCCCACCTCACAAAATATCTGTATACTGGCTGCTAACTTTCAGCTTTTGGATAAATAAAAATTGGCATGGATTTGCAATATGAAGATGCTTCAGATATTTATTCTTAGTGGAGAGGCATCAGCTAATTAGAACCAAGATGATGGCAATTAATTACAGTGATTGTGCATCATCAGACATCCTAAATTGCTGAAGACACTTGACACTGATTTTTCCTCAGAAATACTGCATTATTTTTACAATTATATATAACTCACTTCCAAAAAATGAAACTCACTTATCTTTTTTTTTTTTTCCTGAAAATATACGATCGAGGCATGTAAGTTAATCATCCCACAAAAACACCTGAAATTTGCTATCAATAACATGGTGCTTTGACCAGAAATAAGGCTCATGTGGGCTCATTTCTGGTAACACTCAGAGAGATTTCTCTGAAAAAGGATGTGGGCTTCCAGCTTAGTATTTCCTCAGGGGCTGGCAGCTCGCTCCTC